TAATGATGGGATGATCTTTAATAAAATGAAGTGATGGTTAGAGATTGTGTGGTTGGCACTTGTTCAACTTCCCAAAAATGGGTTAAAAAAGGTTGTTTGGATCGAATGATGGGATGATCCAATGTAAGATATAATGATGTAATGTATAAATGATGGGATGATCTAATATGATTTATTTGTGATGGTTAGAGTGAGTGTTTTGCTTGAGGGTTTGGGACACCCTGAAACACACAACATTTCATTTTGCATCTTACATATGATTTGTATGTTGTTTGTGGGTTATATATATAACACGAGACAAGGTTGATTTGTTTTAATGATGGGATGATCTTTAATAAAATGAAGTGATGGTTAGAGATTGTGTGGTTGGCACTTGTTCAACTTCCCAAAAGTGGGCCAAGAAAGGTTGTTTGGATTGAATGATGGGATGATCCAATGTGAAAATATATGATGTAAAATATAAATGATGGGATGATCTGATGTGATTTATTTGTGATGGTTAGAGTGAGTGTTTTGCTTGAGGGTTTGGGACACCCTGAAACACATAACATTTCATTTTGCATCTTACATAAATGAACAAAACAAACAAAACAATGAACAAAACAAACAAAACAAACAAAACAAACAAAACAAACAAAACAACAAACAAAACGAACAAAACGAACAAAATGAACAAAATAAACAAAATGAACAAAATGAACAAAGCAAATAAAACAAATAAAACAAATAAAACAAATAAATGAACAAAACGAATAAAGCAAATAGAATGAATAAAATGAATAAAAGAAAATAAAATGAATAAAAGCAAATAAAACAAATAAAACAAATAAAAGCAAATAAAATGAATTAGAGCAAATAAAACAGATAAAAGCAAATAAAACAAATAAAAGTAAATAAAACAAATAACAGCAAATAAAACAAATAACAGCAAATAAAAGCAAATAAACAAATAAAATGAATAATAATTCAAATAAAAGCATATAAAGCATATAAAGCAAAGCTTGTATTATGAATAGAAACTGTGCATTAATACTAAAATCAAAAACAACAATAAACAAACAAACAAATAGCTTTTATTACAAAATAATTAATTTTGTTTCTTTGGTGTTAATGATTGAATTGATCACACAAGCAGCAGTCAATTTAAACAGCGTTGTTTTTAAAGAATTTATTCAAAATATTTATTTTAAATGTATAAAGTTTAATGATTTTTAATGTTGCAAAAAATTTTTTGATACATCTGTAAACGTTCAAATAATTATCACAATTATTTACAAGCGTTTAGATATTTATTTAACACTGTTAATGAACTGATAATTTTATTGTTGTAAAATTATCTTTATTTGTTTGAATTTTACATCTTTAAATAATAAAAATACAGTTCTTAAAATACAAATATAAATCAT